TAGACTGAAGTTATAACTCATATTAGAAAGACTGGATCACTTTTTATAACTAACTGCTTATACAGTTTATTTTTATCTAGGTCTTTATGTTTTTATTTCATTACATTACAGGGCTTTCACCTACGTAGCTGGCAACATGTACTCTTTCATTTAAGATCATACAAGGTATGTAATCATGGCAACAGTAACTATGCCGTGAATTCTCTTTTGTCATGTTTAATAGACTGGTTATTTAGGCACCTACAAAAACCAGCTTGGCCAGAGGAACTCGGTAACCAAATACCTTCTCTTCAAGTATCAGATTCACAAAAGAATTATATTCGCCCTAATTATGCATAAAAAATCTGGGAGAAGTCCTCCAAGTGGAATATCTTTACATGTCACAGGTTTTTGTTTTGTTATTAAACTTCACTTGTTGCTAAGGAAGAAGAAAGAATATCAAAGGACTTCTAACAACTAGAAAATCAAAGGTGAGGGAGTTTTGATTTCTTTCTCATTCTTTAAAGATTTATCACTGAACTACAACGGGTGCTGGTTCATAGGTCTACAAAAAGAATGTGTGAATGATGTAAGCCTGCTTTGCTATTTCATATTTAACTTCAAGCATCAAACAATAGCTCAATTCACTTTTTGATTAGCAACACGATCATGCATCGAACTAGCCTGTTTACAAATCCATACGCAATTGAAGTCCTAAGGACTAAAAAAGAAGAGCTAGTAGAAGGCATAAATGACCCAGACCATCTTCTGAACTGGCTGATAGAGAATGGTATTTTCACCCCAGAAAAAAAGATGGTCATGAATTTCTACAGGACACGAGCAGAAAAGAACTCTCGAGTTTTAGACATACTGATTTCTCAAGGTGAACGAGCCTGCAGGCTCTTTTTTTATCCATGTTTAAAGCACGTGGAGCCAAAACTTTATAGCAAGATGAGAAAATACGTCAGTGAAGTAAATGAAAGCATTGGAGATGCTAGAAGACAATTGGTGGGATATTTACTCGAAAAAGACAAGGTGTGGTTTGAAAATAGCAGTGAACGGCACCAGGAAAAAAAAGACAATCCTAGAAGAAAAAAGCAAGTATGGGCAATGAAGAAGAAAGGAAAAGAAACTCGACCTTCAAGGGCAGCAAAACCTAGAAAAGATCATGTTGTTGTTGGCATCTTTGATGCAGTTGCTAAAGGCTATCTTCCTGAGTTAGAAAAAACATTGAAAGATAATGATATTAATGCACTAAACTCTTCAAGTGAAACACTTCTGCATGTTGCAGCTGCTAATGGACATCTAACGATCATGGAATATTTGATCAACAAAGGTGCAAAGATAGACATGAAGGACAAGAAAGGAAGAACACCACTACACAGGGCTGCTGAGAAGGGCCATGGTGATGCAGTGAAAGTGCTTCTGCGATGTGGTGCTTGTATGTACAGTTTGGACATGGAAGGCAAGACACCTCTTCACTTGGCTGCACAGAGTAACCACAGTCACATATTGAAGATGCTCCTGAAAGAAGAGGCAAGAAGCTACAGGAATCAGCACAACTTTTTGCACATGGCAGCTCTTAAAGATGAGAGCAGTCTGGCAAGAATGCTTTTAAAGGCTGGTGCCTCCACTGATGGAAAGGATGAAAGAGGACAGACTGCTCTCAGTTATGCTGTTTCTCAGGGGTCTGAAAATACCGCAAAAGTACTGCTAGAAGCCGGAGCCAGTGTTGATTCCAATATGGCCGAAAGAGCCTTCAACAGCAACCACCCATCCATCTTCAAACTACTACTACAATATTCTAAAGATTTGTCATCTGAAATAATGGAGTCAGCTCTTTTTAGAGCTGTACAGAAAAATCTGCATGGTATTGTAGCAGCTTTAATTGACAGAGGTACAGATATAAATGCCTACAATGAAATGCAGTACACTCCTCTACTCCTGGCATGTGAAACAGGCAAAGTTGAATCAGCAGGAGTTCTAATCGAAAAGGGAGCAAACTTTGGAATAAAGACTCCTGCTTCAGACACAGCTTTGCACTTGGCAGTTCAAGCTGGGGCTGCTTCCATCGCAAGTCTGCTTCTACACAAAGGGATGGAAGTTAACCTTATAAACCAAGCAGATGAAACCCCGCTCCACGTTGCTGCACTTCATAATAAAGGAGCATTAGTTGGCCTTTTAGTTAATGCTGGGGCCAAAATTAATGCTGTCACTAAGGAGTTTGTTACTCCCCTGCATATTGCAAGTCAAAGAGGTAACACTGATGTTGCCCAACAGTTGTTGCACCACAAGGCCAATGTTAACGTTAAGGATAAGCAGTTAAAATCACCTTTACATTTTGCTGCTGAAAGGGGAGACAAAACAATGGTAGAGATGCTTCTGAACGCTCATGCTAACCCCAACGCACAGGACAAGGAGAAAAAGACTCCCCTGCACACTGCAGCTGTGAGAGGACATCTCAGTATCATGAAAGTTCTGTTAGCTAAAAAAGGAAGATTTGGAGCTAAGGACATGGATGGATGTACTCCAATGCACTATGCAGCCATCAGAGGAAACACAGAGATCGTAAAAATTCTTCTGACATCAGGGAAAAATAAAAATATTGATGATAGAAACATTTGGAGAAAGACTGCACTGCATATTGCAGCGGAATATGGACACAGTGACTTGATACATCTGTTACTGAGGCATGGAGCAGCCATTAATGCCTTAGACAGCAGCAAGGATACTCCATTGCATTGTGCATGCAAGGCTGGTCATTTTAGTGCTGCAAATTCCCTCGTAAACTGGTCCCAAGGAGAAAAAGCAAATTTACTAGCTGCTAATAGTCTCAAAAAGACCCCATTGCAAGTAGCAGAATTTAACAAAACAGAAAATCAGGCTCAAATTGTAGCACTTTTGAAAAAGAAAATGTTAATAACAAAATGAAGATGTAAAGCAAAAACTTTAAAAGGCAGAATTCTCTTTTAATGTCATTTGGATAGTGCTGTTGCCCAGTATGATTGAGAATTATGTTCAGGCAGGCAGAATTAAGTTAGCAATCAAAGGTGGCCATGGAAAAAAAGGATCTTAAAGACACCATTAAACTTCTAAGTATTGATTAGTCTTCTGCTTCTCTCATGAATCACATATTTGGAACATATTTAAAAAGCACCGGTCTTAAACACATTGTGTATTACTTCCTCTAGTATAAAGCAAGACTTTAAAAAAAAAAAAAAGATAGAAAATAACTTTTCATGTATCTGTGCACATTAGCCTGTACAGATAGCTTAGTTAAGCAGTTTGGTAAAATCACATTTTCAAAAAGCCATCTATTATCGATAAAGAGACAGCTGTATCCTCAGGGATATAGAGCATAGAGATGTTGGAGTAGATAACACTAGTTTTGTTTAGCTTAGGCAGACCTAACTGCAGAGTGCTGCTACAAGGGATTGATCTGCCCTCCCTTTCAGTTCAGTCATGCATGCTTGCTCTAGGTTGTATGTGTGAGCTGATCCAGCTTATTCCACAGCTATAACTGAACAAAGGGGAGAAGCAGGGTGGATAACAGCTGAACAGCACTGGCTCTCCTGAGGGTCACGTAGTATTAGCTTGGTTTATGCTAATCACAGTATTGGTCTCTGAGCTAAGTGAAGATCAGAAGGCATCTCCCTGCAAATTTACTACCGTGGGGTTGCTCTACTCTAGATTTACTAGACACACTCCTCATGCTAATAAATCCTACCAAGAGGCTTGGTATAAACCAACCAGAGGAGCAATGTGTGCCCAAAACTTTACTAACACATCGCTGTTTTTTTCAGGACACTACTATATGCTACACTGACATTCAATATTGGGTGGGATCCTCTTTAGACATTTCTGTAACTCCCTTTGACAAGGCATTGGCAAGACTATAATGATTATTTTTCTTTCTATCTTTCATAACTCCATTTGCCTAGATTTTGCATTTTTAAGTACAGATAATGAAAACAATCATATTCACTGTTTATTAATTTCACTTTCAAACCGATTCCAGCACAACAATGAAATGTTCAAAATAAAAAGGTTGTAACAGAGTTTATTGGTTCAAGATACTTGTATTGTCATCTCTTAAAACAGAAGCACTTTCTTGAGCGGACAGAAGGTTCTCTGTGGTCATTTTCTACACAATGATCATTTACACTCGCGGTTCTTCACACTTCCCTTCAGTATATGATTAGAAGCCCAATTAGCATGAAGGGACAAATACTTCTTGTGAAATGAAACACAGATTTAAGAACGTACGGGAATAAAACTGACTTTTATAGCCACGTTACAGCACAACCCGCACAACACCCTGCTGCTGCCACCACCTTCTAGATGAATGAAAAGACATGATCGCACTCTCGGAAGTACACAGACAGCGGCTGGCAAAACCGACATCTGCTGCAGCACGATGCACCCCAACAGCGTCCCTCTTCGCTCAGCGCACCACCCTTCAACGGGCCCGGCTGCACCCCGGGCGCCTCGCGAAGCGCCGCTAGCTCAGCGCGCCT